ACTCACATACACCCACTCACTCATACTCACACTCACATACACCCACCCACTCACTCACACACACACTCACACACACCCACCCACCCACACCCACACACACACACACACACACACACACTTCAGCTAACACTAGTTCCGCGAAACTCTTACATTACATGATTCGGTTTGATCTGCGAGAGATTAGAAACTTTTACATCAATCATTAAAACAACAGTTTATTCTTGAAGTGTTTTAATTATTGTGGTTTGGTTTCTTTAACGATTGTAAACAGCTCTGAAAAATACTTTTTTGTCCAAAGAAAGCACGCAGCTTCTTACCTCCACAAACTCAGTTCTTTTGTTCTTCTACACCATTTCATTATGTCTTACTAGACGTACAAAGTCCTGTCCTTCATTCTCCATGTGTGAATCTATTTTAAAAGTCTCCACATATGCGTAAATGATCCTCAAGGGCCGAAGAGAAACAAGCGCTTTACGGGAGTTTTCGCCTTCCCAAAAAAGTCATTAATGTTTGCGCATGCGCAGAAGAGCGAGTTCACCTCCACAGCGCTCGAGCTGCAGCAGCGGCCACAGAACCGGAAGTGAGGGGCGGAGTTATCGACAGCGAGAGAGCACGTGAGTAGTCTGTCATGTTTTTGCTATCAGTTTAGTAATGATCGTATATATTACGTTAAGCATTTATGTGCTAAATACTTAATATGTGCTTGGCTTTATTATCTTATATTGAAGCTTGAATTTGTTGTCATACTTTATAGTAGTGATGAAAAAGCACTTGAAACAGCGCGCGCTGGCGACACCTGCTGCTGAACACCTTGTGAAAGCATCAAGAACTTACAAACTTACAAAAAACGGAAATGTTTTTTAGAAATACCATTTTTAAAAATAAATAATAAACACTTAAATACTATGAAATATTAGTGCTTTTGTTATGTGTTTTAAGTATAATCAAGCCCTTAACACAATGAACTAAATTAATTATTTAATTAATTAATTGATTTACGTAATTATTCATTTAATTAAGTGTTTTCATTAGAGCTGTCTATAAAAACCAGCAGGCAAGAGTAGTGTTATCAGTCAGGAGGAGGAGGTGGATTTAATTCTGTCGTAAGATCATTTTGTGATTTTTACGGTATGATGTGATTTGTAGGTTGAAAGTACTGAATGTTTTCACACATTTTTTAAACTATATAGCCATCTGTGTTAAAGGGAAGATCCTTTGTTTAACCCACAACATCTGGCTCTGAACAGGCCTATTCTTTATTTTTTATAGTAAAATTTCGTGGGATTTCATGTCACTTGATTAACTGTGCAACCTGGGGCACGTTCAAGCTCAAATCGGTGCGCAAGGTTTTGCTCCGGTTTCCGGTTTGAACGACATGTTTCCTGGAAACGGTGTGTAACGGGTTTGAGATGCCTTTTCTCTTGTTTGGTGGGTGTGTCAAACATGTCAGCCAATCAGCAGCAGCATGTATATAAACCACGAGGTATTAAAGAGACAGCTTGCACAATGTAATTAACATCAAAATAAATTCACAAGAGCAAGTATATTGTTTGCACATGTTTATTTACATTAAAGGCAAAATAACTGAAATAATAAGAGTTCAGCTGCCATAGTTGCAACTCTTGCGTCATCAGAACAGATCGTTCAACGCACCACCGTTTCCATTTAAAAAACATTTTGCACCGTTTTTGTCGGGGCTGAATGCAGCCCAGAAGTGGTTTGTGGGTTCACTTTGAGATCAACACCCCCTAGTGGTGAACCATCTGAGTTTAGAAACGTTTCGAAACAGTGTGACGTAACGAAGCTTCGTTTGCTACAATCACGTGACCTGGCCGGTTTGATACGCGCTCCGAAACACTGATTCGAAACAAAAGATTCTCAAATGTTGCGAAGCTTCGTGAAGCAGTGTTTCTAACACGCCCATCACTACTTTATAGTATATAACTTCTTTCTGTGGATGTTTCGATTCGTTTTCGGATGCAGGCTGTAAATGGGCCTTGCGGTGAAGTTTTGAAGACGTTTATTATTCATAAAAATAAATAGTTTGCTTTACTTTCCTCTGTTGTATGCCTCGTTTGTGTGTTAATATGACCTTGTAGTTGAGTTATTTTAATCCCATTTGTCATCATTGAGATAATTGTGTGTGTCTTCATCTCTTGTAGAGACATATAAGGATTGAGAGAGGTGACGCATTACCTGAGCTGCAGCAGTGCAACACGTGTTACAGCAATCGCCAGCAGTTTAATCCAGCCAAACTGGTCAAATTACAAAGTCATCTTCAAATCCACTTCAACATGCAGGTGTCTGTGGAGGTATTAATATCTTGAGTTGTTTGTATAATATATATACTCACAATTTAATATTGCATAATAGTTTACCTGTGTACTTATTTATTTATTTTAGGCTATACTATACATTTTTGCAACCAGTTATTGGTGTGATTATTTAGCTGTTAAATAAGGAACAAGGAAGGTTTTTTTTGTGCCATTTACAGGGAGAATATTCTTATTTTTTTGGAGTTTTCTCTGAAAGGTACTGGACATCTCCTCCAGCCCACCATTACATTTGCACCCCCTTCTGACCAATTTGAAATGAACCAAGATACATGTATATTACAGTGCAGAAACCCTACAAGCCCTTCCAAGTGGATAACAGAATGACAGTGACAAGACAGGACACAGATAATAAAATGAATAATAATATAAATATAAACAAAATAGACAATGTACAAAAAAGCAAAAACACAATATATAATATACAGGAGGAAATTTGGGATGATAGTGTTAAACTCCGAGCTGAAGTCCACAAACAGGATCCTCACATAAGTCCCTGGTCTGTCTAGATGTTGCAGAACATAATGCAGTCCCATGTTGACTGCATCGTCCACAGACCTGTTTGCTCTGTAGGCAAACTGCAGGGGGTCCAGCAAGGGTCCAGTGATGTCCTTCAGGTGGGCCAGCACCAGTTTTTCAAAAGACTTCATGACCACAGACGTTAGAGCCACATGCCTGTAGTCATTAAGTTCTGTAATTTTGGATTTCTTTGGGACGGGGATGATGGTGGAGCGTTTGAAGCATGAAGGGACTTCGCACAGCTCCAGTGATCTGTTGAAGATCTGTGTGAAGATGGGGGCCAGCTGGTCAGCACATTGTCTGTCTGTATCTATCTATCTATCTATCTATCTATCTATCTCTATTATATATACAGTCATGGCACCCTTGGTAAATATGATCAAAGAAGGCTGTGAAAATTAATCTGCATTGTTAATCCTTTTGATCTTTTATTTTTTAAAAACACACAAAAATCTAACCTTTCATTGGATAATAAGAATTTAAAATGGGGGTAAATATCATTATGACATAATTGTTTTTCTCAAATACATATTGGCCATAATTAACGGCACCCTTTTATATTTAATGCTTTTTGAAACCTCCATTTGGCATAATAACAGCGTGATAATAACAGAGTTTTCTCCTATAATGCCTGCTGAGGTTAGAGAGCACCTGACAAGAGATCAGAGACCATTCCTTCATCTAGAATCTCTCCAGATCCTTCAGATTCCAGCTTCTCCTCTTCAGTTCACCACACTCATCTTCTATTGGCTTCAGCTCAGAGGACTGGAATGGACATAGCAGAAGCTTGGTTTTGTGCCCAGTGACAAATTTTTGTGTTGTTTTTTAGGTTTGAGTCAGTCACTTATTGATTTTTTATCTGTTGGTATTTGATAGAATCAAAGATGCCATGTCTCTAAACAAGATGTCCAGGATTTCCAGCAGAAATATAGGCCCACAACATTAAAAATACAGCAGTATATTTCATTGTACACATGGGGTACTTTTTATCCCTGTGTTCACCAAACCCAGCTTGAGTGTTTGTTGCTAAAAAGCTCATTTTTTGGTTTCATCTGACCATAGAAGCCAGTCCCATTTAAAGTTCCAGTCGTGTCTGACAACAGAATATGCTGGGGATTGTTTTTGGATGAGCTAGGAGAATTTTTCTTGAAACCCTCCCAAACAACATGTGGTGTAGGTGCTGTTTGACTTTTTTTTTTTTAAGGTTTTCTGACCCGAGACTCAATTCTCCAGCTGTGATCCTCAGAGTCTTTAGCCACTCAAACTCTCCTCCTCACCATGCATTAGGATGATATACAGGTGCATCTCAATCAATTAGAATGTCGTGGAAAAGTTCATTTATTTCAATAATTCACTCAAATTGTGAAACTCGTGTATTAAATAAATTCAATGCACACAGACTGAAGTAGTTTAAGTCTTTGGTTCTTTTAATTGTGATGATTTTGGCTCGCCTTTAACAAAAACCCACCAATTCACTATCTCAACAAATTAGAATATGGTGACATGCCAATCAGCTAATCAACTCAAAACACCTGCAAAGGTTTCCTGAGCCTTCAAAATGGTGTCTCTGCAGCAGAAACATGCATACTATGCAGAAGACTTCAGTCAAATAGAGCAGATCGCAGACAGACTGAAGACTCAGATTCACAGCTGTGAAGGTACTGCAGTGTCAGTGATTTATGTTATCAGATCATAAACAGAAGCTTTGGAGTCTGTAGCTGCGTATACACCGCTGTTAAACATAAACAAACACGTGTTATGCTGCACCCACCAGAATGCTTTAGAGAAATCGATATACCAGTGTGCAAATATTTTTAATACACTGTAAATAAATACTCCACTGCAGAAGTAATACTCTTGTGTTGTCTCAGTCTCAGATCAGCTGTCAGTGTCACATCAGTGTAAATGTGGGAAGATGATGTTGTTCACCAACATGAGCACTGAAGCACTGTTGAGGGTTTCACAGCAGTATATCCTCCAGCTTTACTCTTACACCAGTCCCTAATGCACTGCACACTGGTTTATCTGCTCATCTGACACATCCAGGTCAGTTCATGGTGCTCTACTGATGTTCAGTGAGAGATGTTCAAACTGTGCAGCGCTGTGCTGAAATGAGTCAATGCACTAAACATACACAATAGTAGATATAGGTTTGGGTTTTTTTGTGTACTTTGTGGCCATCTGGTGGTCAGAAGGTTCAATAGTAGTAAGTTATAGCACTTACAAAACTGCAGTGTCACGAGACACTGGCTTACATCTGGTTCTGCAACTGATTCTACATGATTTATTCTATTCTAAAGAAATAATCAGTGCAACATTGACAACGTTATTTCATAGGCAAGGTTCCTTGTGGGTTTCATATATTAATTACCATATTGAAAAAAACGTGAGTAGTTACAGTAAGGAATAAGCTAAGGTTGGATACTGAGGCAGTTACATGTTTCTCAGGCAAACAATAGATCCCATGATTTTGGCCAAAACAAATCAAGCTGCAATACAGTGCTTCAGTGTTTATTTGACGCAAGCTTCAATGTCAAACATATCACTAGTGACTGCTAAACATGTGTAACCTAAAACACCTCAATGTTTCTACATCATTTCTCACCATCATCACACAGAAAGGACATTTCCTAACAGAACAACACTAGCTCCTGATGAAGAGGACTGAACTGTTGGAGAATCAGCTTGAGCTGCTGTAAGATCAGTGCTGGAGCAATACATCAAGATCTGTGTCACATACAACTGACTCATCTTAATGACATTTATCCCAAAATTTTGTACTGCATAATTACCATTTTCTGTATGATTTTGCATGTTTAAAGTAAAAAAAAAAAGACTGTAGCTGTAGAAGTGTAATTCAGTAGTGCATTAAAGCATCACCACTTGTTTTCAGCTGAGGAGAAGCATTAAGAAGAAAGCATTAAGGAGAAGCTGCTGTACTCTCAAACGGAGAACCAATCTAAAGTAATCTGGGACCGCGGGACCAAACCGAAGGGTGTCTTGGGAAGACATTTAAATATTTGAAGTATGATATCAAAACATGAACAACTTGAAAATATGCTTACGGACTCCGATCTAGATTTCTGGTGTTTATCTGAGACGTGGTTAACTAAAACCTCTCCTAGTGCTGGGTATAAGTATTTCAGACATGATAGGACAAATGGTAGAGGAGGACTTCTTATTTATGTTAAAGATCATTTTAGTATACAAGTTCATCTTGAATGTTCAAATGATTTTGAATGTATTGCGGTTTTAATTACTCCACAAATGTCTTTCACTATTGTTGCAGTTTAAAGACACCCTTCCTCTGATATTTCATTTTATGATCACTTTTAAAAACTTTTTAAAGAAGTTGAGAAGTAAAGACTTGTATAATCTCAATTGCTCTGATAAAAGGCAGGCTAAGGCACAATGTTTTATTAATATTTTAAATGAGGCTAAAGGTGATTGTTAAACGGTTTGGCAAACTATTAATCCGTTGACACAGACTCTAAATCATGTCATGTTTAGAAATAGGTTTTAAAGGAAGAAGAATTGATAAACCTGACGAAACTGCAGATATATTTAAGGATTAGTTGGACTCAGATTTGCTTGCACATGATGTTTGTAACGTGATGTGTTTTGGTAGCTACTCTCTTGCTCTGGGACAGCAGATGAAATTAAGCTCCGAAGCTAATTCTGTGGCCGTCTTTGACTGTCCATTGTTCCTGTTAAATACAGAATTAAATCAAATGTACTGAAGTAGTAATGAGGACCTCGCTGGGGTGTTCAGGACTGGACATTAGTTATCATCAACCTGGGGAAAGAAAACGATGTTATCCCTGCTTTATCAAAGTAAATCCAGTAAACCCACTGACACTT